AGCCCTGGAAGCTGCTCAGGAGATACCATCTCTGTGGGAGTGCATGGCTGGGTGTTTATTTCCTGCACTGCTCTTTGTCCCTCCTGGCATGAGGAGCATCACTGGTGTGGAATGCCCCGGGAGGTTTTCCCTGCAGCAAGCAGGGAATGACAAGAAATGGGTCAGACACAGATTTGGGCTTCAGAGTGAACTCCATGTCCCTCAGAGAGCACTCTTGTCCCGTGTCACTGAGAGATGAGCAGCAGTTTGTGGGCTCCAGGGTCAACTTTGCTGTGATGTCCTCATTTCTGCTAAATGTCAAGGCTGGATGATACCCTGGGAAAACATGGATGCACCAGGCACGTGGACCAAGCAGCCAGACTTTGACAGCTGGTGGTTTGTGGTGGTATGATGCTGGGTAGAAAACTTTGCATGGTGATGAATTTCTGGAAATCCCTGGAGCAGGAGGCTGAGGCAGTGAAAGCTGTGAGTTGGTTGTGAAAGTGTTCATTTTCAGCATCATCCTGTGTTTGCCTCTGTGCCCCTGTGTGACCTTGTCAGGACTTCCTCCTTGTGCACAAGGGAGATGAATTGCACTCGAGTTTTTTCAGTTTTTTGGGGCTTGCCCTGGCTTTCCTTTCTCTGCTGCTTCCTCCCCTCTCTCATTGCTGCAGTAGCTGCTAAATCTCTTTAGGAACAGCTGCTGCACTTGAACACGTTCCCTTTTCCCTGCATCCCAAATGAAGGAGCATTTAGAAGCTGAAAGTAAAGCTGATTATAAGCAGACCTCACTGAGCCTCGTTATCCCTCGAGAGGAGGGCAGAGAGACGCCCAACTGGATTTGTAATGGGTTAGGATGTGACTAACAGCCTGAGCCAGCCAGAAACCTCCCTGAGCAGAGACTCTCTTGGAAAACATCAATTTGTCAGAGCTAAAAGCTTCCATGGGAATCATATAGGCTGGTTTTGTCAGGAATAGTTGGGTGTTTCTTTGGGTCTGAGATGAAATTTCAGCTCAAAACAAGAAACCCAAAGGGACCCCCCCATGCCAAAGCAGTGGGCTGGTTGGTCCAGCTGCTGGCACAGATGTTTGGGGCAGGGGAAGAGCTTTTAGCTGCAGCTGCTGTCACTCCTTGGTGCCCATCACACCCGTCAGGCTCACCACGGGCATGGAGCAGCTCCAGTTCCTCAGGGATGCTCGGGCTTCTCACACATTGCAGCTCCAACACTTCTGCTGGCTGCAGCACACCACACTTCCCAAGCCTCCCACTCCTCCCCAGCTGCACCAGGGCAGGACTTTGGCTGGAAGCTCCTGCTGTGCCCACTGCTGCTCTGAGTCTCAGGAGCTCCTTGTCCAGCAGCCCAGGCTCAGGTTTATTGGGAGAACTGGAGCAGGTCATGCTTGGAGCTTTCCTGCCTGATGGGCAGATGCTCTCAGGAGGGGGAAGGTGCTGAGTTTGCAGCAGGGAGCAGGGGATCTGTCACCAGGCCCTGCATCAAAGACATCCCCGCTCCTCCTGTGCCCCAGGCAGCTCCAGAGAGCTCCTAAACAGGAAACTGCTCCAAACCAGCCCCCCCTGCTGCCCCTCCTGCAGGGAGGCCCCTCCAGAGCCCTGTGCTGTCTCCTCTCTGGCTGTTGTGCTCTGTTGTGTTTTCTCTCCCTAGTAACGTGCCAGTAGCTCCCTGGGGAGTGAGGCCAGCCCATGGCAGGCAGAGCTCCAGCCTGGGATGCATGAGCTCCTCAGCACTTCTTGTCCTCTCAGCCCACCCCACACGCAGTTTTGCTTTTTTTTTTCCCCACTGTTTGGCTCAGCAGCAGCAGACCTGAGCTGCCTCCTGCTCCTGGGAGATGGGGCTGGCATTTGTTGTGTCCCCCTGCCCCAGGGAATGGCTTTGAGCAGTGTCCAAAGGGGGCTGGGGCACAGGAATTGAGCTTGCAGGCAGCAGCCAGGGCCCTGCCCAGGTGCTGGGCACACAAAGGGGTGTCATGGGCTGGAGCTGGTGCAGGGGAAAGGGACAAGGGACAGTCCTGCAGTGCTGCAGCCTCCCCTTGCTGGGTGCTTTGTGTGTGCCAGGAGAGGGGGGCAGTGAAGGCTGGGCTGGGCTGGGGGGTCTGTGTGCTGCCAGATGCCTGAGCTGTCCCTGCCTCAGCTGGGCTGGGCTGGGGCTGGGCTCTGTGCTGTCCCCCAGGTCCCTGAGCCACCGCTGCTCCTGGTGGAACAAACCCTCCATGGGGAGCAAGGTTAGAGCTGCTCCCTTGCCCAGCTCCCAGAAAAGCTCCCCCTTCCCTGTGCCCGCTGTGAGGGGACGAGCAGGGCACCAGCAGTGCTGCCATTGCTGCCATCCTGCTCCTCTCTGGCTCTGCTGATTTGCATCAGCTCCACTTCCTCAGAGTCAGTGAGTCAAACTGCAGGGCAGGCTCTGTGTGCCCAGCTGTGTCTGTGCAGGCTGATAAACCCCTGTCCCAGAGCCCAGGGGTGGCACAGGCTGGCAGGAGGTGTCTCCTGTGCCATGTTCTGGGGGGGTTCTGCTTGTGCCCCAAGCTGGGGCTGGAAGGGTCAGCGCTGCTTCCAGCCCCAGCTGCTCTGGGAGCTGCCCCCATGGCCAGGGTAGCACCCAGCACCAGGGCTGGCTCTTTCCAAGCCGTGGCTGGGACCTGCAGGGGCCACACCACACCCTGAGGGTCCTTGCTTTTGGGTGCTGTGCCACTGAGGTGTGTGGATGTGCTCGTGCACTTGGCTGAGCTGGGATGTTTTTCTGAACTGGGCTCAGTTTCCAGCAGCACTGACTGTTGTAAAATCAGGCTGGTTGTAAAATCCTCTCTGTGTGTGTTCATCTGGTGGCACTCTGCAGCTCCTGTCCTGGCTGGTGCTTTGTGGTGCTGCTGTGGTCCAGGGGATATCCAGGAAAAGCCTGTCCAGGACATGTCTGAGATCCTCCAAACACTCCAGTCACCTCCTGCTTTAAAATGCATTTGTGTCTTTGACACTTTTGAACAGATCATTTATTTTTAAAGTGTATTTAAAGAAAAATCTTTTATTCTGTGGTCAATTTAGTTTTAAACTTCTCAAAGCTTCAGGCAGAGGCTATGGAAAGTTTTAGCCTGGGAGGAGAGTGGGGTGGAAGGGCTGGAACGAGTGAAAGCTGCTGCTATAGGATCATTTTACAGCCTTTGGTGCTGCCAACTCTGCCCTTGCCACCCCTGAGAGCTGCCACCAAATGCTCTGGGAGGGTGAGGGCACCTCATGCCCCAGGCTGGGCAGGTCTGTGCTGCAGGAAGGGCTTCACCTGCTCCCTTGGCTGTTTTGGGGTGTCTGGATCCACATGGAGAAACACTGCAGTGCTCCCTCTTTTCTCTCTGGGGGAAACCCAAAGCTTTTTGGTGAGCCACAGCTGAGAGGGGCAGGACTGAAGCCTAGGAATACTTGGGGGAATGGCAGGGAGGGAAATTATTTATGTCCACCCAAGAACAATGTTGGCACAAGAAGGAGTGGGCAGAAAGCAGCAGGAATAAACTCGGGCTGGAAATGCGAAGGTTTCCATCCAGTGCAGGAGAATTGAGTGTCTGCATAAAAGGAGCAGCAATAAAAGCTTGAGCTGCTTCTCTGGAAACACAAAATTCCAATGGGCTCCTTTCTAGTTTCTCTTGAATACAGGGGTGAGGCAAGCTGGGCTGGAGTTGTCAGCTGAAATGCAGAGAAATGGAGTGTACTGAGCTCAGCTAAAGCAGATCCTGAATGCAGGTGAACTTTGCAGCCCTGCAGCCTTAAAAAAAAACTGGACAGAAGGGAAAGTTTCCATTATTTTAATCAAACTTGTCTCTTTGATTGAGATCTTGCATTTCTGAAACTCACTTTTAAGTACAGAAACTCTCTAGAAATGAAACATTTCCTTTTGCACTGATGGCTCAGTTTCTGTGGATGAAACCAGAGGGCTGTTCTGACTCCTCTGATTTATACATGAGCTGAAACTTCTTTTTTCCTGTAACTGAGCTGCTGTGAGAAAGGTCAGGGTGTTGAAACAGGAAGCCTGTGTGTGTGTACATGTAAATTTGTGTGCACAGCCCCCCTTGCACACCTGTGTGTGCTTTCCTGTGTGTTTGTGGGATTCATCTTTCCCAAAACGTGTCTAGACAATGCTGCAACACCAGACCAAGGAGCCTTGTCCTGTTTTATGTGCCACAACCAAAAACAAAACCCTGTGCTGGAGGAGAAATTAATTGGCTGTTACCTGGGTCAGCTTTGTTGGGTTTTGTTGGTATTCCTCTTGTTGGTTTTCCTTTTTACTCTCCCCCACCATCAACACATCTCCTCCCTCCCCACACCTGCTTTCCCACCCTAAACATGTTGTGCTGGCATCACTGATTCAGAGCTGGGTCCAAAACCTGCTCCTGCTCCAGGGGCTTGGAAAGGCCCTGCTCACACCTTGGGGGGACCAGCGAGGACATCCAGGTGTCACTGAAAGCAAAGCCACCACTGAAACCCAGCACCAGAGCCATTCCCATGGCACCAGGGGTGATGTAGCAGTGCCAAAACTGCCTGTCCTGCTGGGGACATCCCAGCTCTCCATCCTTCGTCCCATTCCCTCCTGTGGGCTCTCTGGGGACATCTCAATCCTCTGTCCCATTCTGTGCTGTGGGTTCTCCAGGGACATCCCAACCCTCAATCCTCTGTCCTATTCCCTGCTGTGGGCTCTCTGGGGACACCCCAACCCTGAGCCCTCTGTCCCATCGCATGCTGTGGGTTCTCCAGGGACATCCCAACCCTCACCCCTCTGTCCCATTCCCCACAGTGGGCTTTCTGGTGACATCCCAACTCTCATCTCTCTCTCCCGTTCCCTGCTTTGGGCTCTCTGGGGACACCCCAACCCTCAATCCTCTGTCCCATTCCGTGTTGTGGGTTCTCCAGAGACATCCCAACTCTCACCCCTCTGTCCCATCCCCTGCTGAGGGCTCACTGGGGGACACCCCAGCCCTCAATCCTGGGTGACCCCCCAGCCCTGTCCCCTCTGTGCCACCCCCAGGTTGCCACGACAAGGCCGTGCTGCTCTACGAGTACGTGGGGAAGCGCATCGTGGACCTGCAGCACACGGAGGTGCCCGACGCCTATCGAGGGAGAGGAATTGCCAAGCACCTGGCAAAGGTACAGCCCCAGCCCCCCAGAAGGGCACGGTGCCCATCCTGCTGCCATCCCAACTGTGGGTAAAGATCCTGGCTGAAGCAGGCCCTGTCCTGTTGGAATTGTGTGTGTGCATGCCCTGTGGGAATCCTGCTCTGATGGGAGATGGGGTGGCTGGAGGGGCAGATGGAAATGTGGGGTCAGACAGCCCCGGGTTTTGTGGCAAGGGGAGCTGGGTAAGTGTCAGCAAATCCAGGCACTCCCCCAGGTTCAGCCCATTCCCCCTCTCAGCAGAAATCCCTTGTGCAGGGGCTGATGGCTCAGCTCAGCTCCAGCTGGACCCCTCCTCTCAAACCTTCACTGCCCTCATGAGCCCTCTGCCTGCTTGGGCTGTGAGGGAGAGCTGTGGAGCCCTGAGCACAACACTGGGGGGCTCCTTTGGGGTCCAGCTGCTCCCTGGCCCTGTAAATGGGGACAAAGAGATAATGAAGGTGGCCTTCACAGGATGGGCTGTGTCACCTGCAGCGCAGCATCCACGGGGCTGGATGTGCTGAGGGTTAAACTGGGGACTCTGTGGCAGGACAGCTGTGCTCTCCCCTCAGGCACAGGGGGTACCTGAGGGACTCCTGCTGCTTCCCCCATCTGGGTGAGGGGTGCACACTCCCCTGAGGCTGGGGGTGTTGGTTGTGACCCCTCTGATCTGCACTGCTTGCAGGCAGCCCTGGACTTTGTGGTGGAGGAGGACCTGAAGGCGCACCTGACGTGCTGGTACATTCAGAAATACGTCAAGGAGAACCCTCTGCCGCAGTACCTGGAACATTTGCAGCCTTAAGGCAGGACTGCTCCCTCACCAGCACACCTGGCCCTGACTGTTCAAGGCGGCCTTGGCTTCTCTGCAGTCTCAGGAACCCCCTTCCCACACTGGCAATTCCCGGTTTTTTAGCGTGTCCATGCGGTGTGTGAGTGTGGGCACCTCCTCCTCCTCCTCCTCTGTGCCCACGTGGGAGCATGGCCACAGCCCCTGGGCCAGGCTGCTCCGGGCACACAGGGTGCCCACCAGTGCTTTTCCCAAGCCAGGGGATAGAAGAGGGTGAATTTTCCACCAAACTCCATTGCAAGGCCAGGGCATGACTTGTTCTGCACCTCATCCTCTCCCCCCTGCTTGGCAACAGCTCTGAACTTGCTGGGGGATGTTGGTTAGGGCTGCTCATGGGGTACCAGCCCCCCTTTGCTCCTGGCAGCTGGGGAGATGCTGTGGGTTCAGCTCTGTGGGACAGAGGGAGGTGCTGGAGGAGCCCCAGCCCTGTGTCAGGCTCATCCCCTGCAGCACCTGGTGGGCACCAGGCCGTGTCCAAGGCCACCTGCAGTTCATACCAGAACATGTGGACCATGGTGGCACCTCGGGGGCTTTGCTGCCCTGGCTGTGGACACACTGGGATGGTGACACCCTTGAGCCTGGAGACAAGAGCCCTGTGAGGAGTGGACTTGGACTGCAGAGTCTGTGCAGAGTAAGAAACGTGGCTGAGTTGCAGATGCTGCTCCCTGGAGATGCCATCTCCCGCCCAGCTTGTGTACACAACCCTGAAGTGGCATCCCAGAGGGTCATGGACTGTTACTCGTTTCTCCCTGCCCTTGGTGTGGACACAGCCTGCTCAGGAGAAGAGACCAGCCCCACAGCCAGCCTTGGCCTGAGCACTGAGGGACATCCCAGGACACCAGGGTGGTTTCCTGCAGCTGAAGAGGAAGGCTCCTCTCATCTCCCTCTTCTCCACCTCTGCATCCCTGTCAGTGCCCCAGATCAGCCCCACCAGGACGTCCTGAGAGCAGCAGGGTGAGGCCTCCAGGACCTGCTCCTGGCCCATCTGCAGGGTTCAGTGCTGGAGGTGCCTGCATCCATTGCATCCCCGTGGATCCCAATGGCTCCTCCTTACAGCCTTTGGGAAGCAGCCCTGGCTCCTGGCATTACCTGGCTGCTCAGGGCACTGGCAGCATCGTGGGGACCTTGGCCAGCAGCAGGAACACCCTCATTTCGTGCTCTTACCTCGGTGGATGATGATTCTGTAGCACAACCCAGCATTGCCACCCTCAGATGTGGAGGTGACACCACGATGGCAGGGCACTGCCAGCTCCCAGCTTGCTGCCTGTCCTGCCTTGCCTGCGTTCTCCAGGGCCTGAGCTGCACCTCAGAGCATCTCACACTGAGCTCTCAGGATTCTGTAGTGTCCCAAGGCAGGGCTGTGCTGAGGGAGGGATTTGTTTTCAACACCCCCAGCCCTGGCTGCAGCCAGGCAGGACATGGAGAACCTCTCACCTGGAGACCAAACCCAGGCCTTGCTGAGCTCAGCAGGGACTAAAGTTTACAGTCTGTGCCACGGAGTGACTGAAGCCCCAGGTGAGAGGCAGCTCAGCCCTTTCCCAGAGCCCAGCACAAAATCCATGGCAGCAAAGGCAAAAACTCCTACAAACTTCTCTCCTGGTTGGGGTGGCCAGAGATGGAGACCCTGTGCCAGGATTTCAGCCTGAGCTGTCCCTGGCCACCAGCTCGAGGGGAACCCTTGCTGCCTGCCCGTGCTTTGGGCTGCCCATCACCAGCACAGCACAGCCCAGCCCTCTCAGGCTTCCAGAACTCCCAACCTCCATCCCTGCCCTGCACACTGCAGGCTCTGAGACCCCTGCCCGTGCCCACCACCTGTGCCAGGGGGCAGAGCCACCTCTGCCCTGTGCTGCTCAGGAAAGGCTTCAAGCTCAGCCCTGCCTCTGCTTCATTTCTGCCCTCCTGCTGCTGATTTCACCCAGGCTGTGACCTTCAGGGTGGCTTTGAGGGACTGGGAAAGGGTAACAAACTGAAGGGGCTCAAGAAGAAATGTGGGCTGCTAAATGTTCTTTCTTTAACATGCACAACACACTTCAACACACAGTTACAGGAGCAAGGCTGGCTCTGGTGCTGCTGTGATGGCTGAACCATCTCTTCTCTTGATTCCAAGGTGAAGCTGAGCTGTTTTGCCCCCTGGAAGCCAAGATCAGACACTTGTGTCTGTGCCACAGCAGGGCTGGGTGCGATGCTTGAGCTCTGTCCTGCTTTAGTGCTCATTCCCACTGTGAGCAGTCTCCAGCAGCCCCCTGACATGTCAGCTCACTGCAGGGTGTGCTGTGCTCAGTGTCTGGGCAGAGCCCCACGCCCAGCCTGGCTCTGGAGCCCCGGTGCTGCTCTGGCAGGAACCCGGAGCTTCCCGGCGCTGGATCCCGCAGCGATCGCTGCCTTAACTCAGCACAGCTCCCGGTTCTGCTGCTGCTTCCTTCGAGGTGCTACAACCCCCTGGTGTCTGAGCTGGCAGGGACCTGTGCCAGTGGCTGTGCCAACCCTTTCTCTGCTGTGTCCCTGCTCTGTCCCTCCTCCTGGATGCCAGTGAATAGCAATACCCGCAGCTCACCAGCGATGAGCCCACGGTGCTCCTGTGACCCTGCATGGCTGGGTGGGACCTGCCTGGGGGTCCCTCGGTGCTGGGTAACCCTTCCCTGCCTCCCCACCAGCTGCCTTTGCCCAGCTGGTCTCTGCAGAAAGGAGCTTTGAGTCCTGTGCTGCCCCTTGGTGCTGATTAAGCCTGGAGGAGTTTGGGATTTTGGACTCTCCCCGGGCAACAGGAGCATGGAAGTGGTTTGGTTGAATACTGAGCTCCCCAAACCCGTTTGAACTACAGACCTGTGGTGGGTGGGGGAATGCAGGTGGCTGTCAGACCTGCTTCCACAGCCCCCAACTTGAAACACCCCCTTCCTCATCCGCTCTCCAGCGTTGTCTTCCTCTGTCCCAGGTTTCCGTTCTGTTGGATTCGGTGGTTACGATGTGCCTTTCCTTCTCAGGACCTGTTACAAACAACCTTTCTGCTCTTGTTTATGTTTAACATTTATCTTGACCCCTCCCTCTGTCATACTATAAAACATGAACATAATGCATGGAATACAATACAATAAAAGTGTGGCTTAACTGAGCTGCAGTGGCTGTGCTGTGCTGGGGGGGTCAATGCTCCCACTGCAAAGGTTCAGTAGGTAAGGGGTGAAATTATTGTGTTTTATTGGAGGTCACAGGGCTGGCTGACCTGGTGATGACTGTGCAGATCTCAGGGTGAGCAGGATCACAACTGGTTCCTCTTCTTTGCCAGCTGATCCAGACCTGCTCACCTTCACCATTCCTCCGTGGGATTTCAGGCCAGGCTTTGGGAGTTGTCCTGCAATTGAGCAGACACACTCAGTGTTTGTGTCCACTGCTTTAAGATGAAAATATTGAAATATCCAGTTGCTGTGCTTGTCCAGAGCAAGGTGGGCAGGCAGGTGCTCAGAGGGACACAAGGCAGTGCCCTCCTGGAGCCAGCACTCCCAGGGCTGGGAGCACAGCCTGGGCACTCAGGATCCTGGCAGGGAATTTGTGTCCCTTCCCAGCGCTGTGAGAAGGCTGCAGAGGCTGAGTTTGGATAACTCAGATTGCCAGGAAGTTTGGTGTGGGGAGCAGTTATGATTTGATCCAGCGTGACAAGCTGCCCCTGGGCTGCAGCAGGAGCTGGGCTTTGCTGCTCCCGAGGGACAGCACGGCCCGTTGGGATCCGTGGCTGGGCTGTTGCTGGTAACACACTCTGTTTACATTCCACATTCCACACAGTCCGTGCTCCGGCCTGTCCCAGTCCTGCTGCACGTTCTGCCGGGCTGGGCACGCTTCCCAAACACCTCCTGGTTCCTGTGAATGCAGGAACACCTCCCCCGGAACAGCTGCCCCCCAAAACACAGCTGGGAGGGCAGCGCTGGGGGCGGGCCCTGCAGGAGCAGCCTCGGGATGCCTGGGGAGGTGGAGGCAGCCAGGGGTTTGTTCTCAGTCACATTATATCACTTGGGAATAATGCTGTCAAAATGAGGGCTTTTGTAGGAACGGGAGATGCAGAGGCAGCGCTGTCAGGCTGGAGGAGGGCTCTGAGAAAGGAGGGGGTGTGGAGCAAGGAGCTGCTGTTTGATAAGGAAAACTTAAAATTCCTGATAAAAAGGCTCCTCTCCTGGGAGGAATCCAGCCCGGAGCAAGAGGGAGCCCTGCAGAGGTTCAAGCACCCTGGAGATACCATCCAGGCACAAAACCTTCTGATGGACCCACAGGAGCTGGGAAACCTCTGGCAGAACCAAACCTATACTGCAATTCTAGAGAAGCGTTTGGTATTAAACTTTATATTGAATTGATGACCTTGTGGTCTTTCCTAAGTGATTCTGTGATTTATTCTTCCTTAGAGATGCAGCAGGGGAGTCTCCCCATTCACTGCCCCTTTTCGAGATTGACTAAGTGGGCGAAATTCACCCCAAAACCGCCCAGCCTCTCCTTCCAAGGAAGTTCCGCACAGGGGATCC